CAAAAAGAAGTAAAAGTTTTTTTTCTCTCTTTTACCATTACGAGACAAATAAATTTTAGGTATTAGGTATTATAGAGATTTGAATATAATTATATTTTTCTTTACGAAATTGGCTTTTATTACCTCATAAATACGAAAGACCCTTAATAGAGGTGGAGATGTTTCATTTTTTTTTCTTTTTTTAGATAAGGTGAAGATGTTCTATTCAACCATTAAATTGTGCTTATTGCGTAATTTGACAATGATATTAGATTAAACCAAAATGTAAGAGAAATAAGAAAGTACAGGGTAAGGTTCACAATGTCGATGTCGATGAAAATGTTGAGGTACCAATTTTACGGACATGTCGATGTGAACGGATATTTCGAAAAAAATAATGGAAATTTTTTGAATTAGCAGATAAAACTTGAATGTTAGCTTAATTATACTATGTAAGAATATGATCATTTTACTCGACGTCGATGGAAATATCCAAAAATATTTTTTTTAATGTACATTGATGGAAATTATTTGGATATGTAAAGTAAAGTTTAATGGTAATCTTTTGACTATTTCTTTAGAATCTTTTATAATAGGATTCATTTGAAAATATACTATTTTATACAAACTCATTTTATTTTTATTAAAATTACAGCATGTAAAAATATAATATTATAAAAATAGTTCTATACAATATGTAACATATATGTTAATAAATTAATTAATTTGTAATAATTTACATCGTGGACAAAACACACCCAAAGCAAGCAACCGTCATTTTTGTATGTCTATTTAAGCTGGAATCAGAATATATTGATTTGCACCCTAATTAATGGACGGATATGATTGGATCCACTTGGATCGTTAAAAATATTGGATAAATGCCACGTCATCTAAGAATTTATCCATTCCAATTCACTTTTCGGAGAATATTAAACCTATACCACATACTGATACGGCCGAGAGGCGATGGAGATAGGCCAAAGCGGAGAGACCAATGACGGTGATTCCCCAAAATCGCGTCAAATAACTATCCAGATTCAATGAACATTTTTAATAACAAATATTACGACATTCAAGTCAGTTGAAATTTTGAATTTCTAAATCGATTCGAGATAGAATTGAATATTTGAGTGAGTGAAGCGATGATATATTTATAGTAGTAGGTAAAATCTTTCTGTTACGATCAATAAACTGTCAAAAAGTTGTTGAACTGTTCTCACCTGTATAAAGAAGCTGTTGGATTCTTAGCTCATATGAGATGAGCTAATGATCATTTACTTTGTGTGAGGTTCCAAGGAGGCATGATACCGAGCTTTATAGGTTGACATTGTAAGGTCACTCACGACTAGCTATTCTCGATTCACGTGAGATTTTGTGATTGTTCTTCCCAACACTTATTTTCGAAATGTCTATTTTGATTCTTATACTTTTAATTTTAGTTCTTATTCTTTCCAAAAGTTCGTTTTATTCTTTATATTTTTTAAATGACCTTTTTAGTGCCCTCACAACACTTATTTTTGAAATGTCTATTTTGATCAAAATTTTAACATGACAGTTCACTCAATATATTTATACTTTGTATTAAAAGATTTTTGTTGTATATGAAACTTGTGTTTAAATTTTATAAATAGAACTCGAATTAGTTATATATATATATATATATATATATAGCTGTTGCTTGTGTGATTTGCATAGTGTTACATGATTTGAGTAGGCATTATTATAGTCAAAGTTAAGTTAAATTCAAGTGGCAAGCACGTTATAGCAATTAGTTTTATACGGTCTAAGTGAAATTTGTAATTTGACATCTCCTTGGAAATAAAATTTAATTTTTAATTTTTAAAAAATCTGTTTAATTTTTAATGGCACTATATATATATATATATTTTAAAATAGTTAGTTTTATACTGTCTATGTTAAATTTGTAATTTGACATCTCTTTGGAAATAGTTTTTTATTTTTTACTTTTTAAAAAATTGTTTAATTTTTCATCACACTATAATTTTTTTTAATATAGTTTATATAATAGAATATAGTAATACTACATAAACACAAATAAAGTAAAATGGTACCACATGAGCAAATACAAAATTTTTACTCCACAAATATATGACTCATATAAATCAATGATGATTCCTTCTTTCCTCTTCAGCAGCAAGGACAACAAAACAGTGAGAGAGAATTTTTGTGGAGATAAAGATTCAGTGATCAGTCCACCAAAAATGACCACTAGGCATTTGGGAGTTATTGCTAATTTATTGAGAGATCGAAAATTAATTTATTTAAAATAGATCTTATTTTTTTGTTCGGAGCTAAAATTTGAGGGGAGATAAGTAATTAAAAATATAATAAGAATATTACATTTGTCATCTTATTAGAATCGAGACTAATAACAATCGAAGGAATTAAAAACATAGTACAAAAAATTTACGTAATATATAACACTGGTTTTGAAATTTTTGAAAAATAACATAATTTATAAATTTATACAATCACATTAAACCAATCAAAAGTCACTTTTGTGATATTTTTTAAAAGAATGGAAAGTAACGATATTTTTATAAATACAATGACACAATATAATTTTCTATGATTTTTTTTATTTAAATTACTTGCGATTCTTGAATTTTTAATTCAAAACTTTCGACATCATAGAAGAAGCAAATATTTGGATTCATAATCCATACCTTTACCTTATTGCTCGTATCGTGATCCATTTTCTCCAATTTGATTCCAGCCAAGTACCAATTTTTATATTTTAAATATATTGTATTTTTGGAGGATAGCTAAATTAAACACCACTTGGAAATTAAAAAAAAAAATTAAAAAGACAAATTCCAACGAGTCATGCGTAAAACGGATAAATTATACACTCTAATACATCGTGCCATCATGGTACGGACTACGGGCTGCTTACGTGGCACACAAGTGGTCTCGAATCCGCGGGCGAGGCTTCTTCAGTTCCTTCATCTTCGTATGGTACTATAAATAATCCCACTGGTCATCCATTTTCTCTCTCTCGATAACCATTGCCTGGAAGGGA